CACACGTGCCCGTGCCTGCGTTGCGCATACGAGCGCAACTACGTCCATGCTCATGCACAGCCAAGTCCTGGGGGGATGAGATAGGTGAGTGGAGTTAAACAGACAGACGGTACGGTGTGTATGGGATACGAAGGCGAGTGCACGCTGGAGTGCGTGGTTTGTTCGTGGAACGGGGTTAACAGCCCCGGCCGAAGGTAAACAAACGTAAACACAAATACAGAGAGATCGATAGAAACATTGGGAAGTATAAAATAGCGGCCGGTGATTCGGCTGTTTTACAGTGACTGTTGGGTCTGTAGCTTGGTAGTTAGGCCAATAACAGCAACGAGAAGGTGAAAACAAGGCACTCAGTCTGAAGCACCCTTATGGTACTATACTCCGTGATGTATTATACTTTGAAGATCAACTCGATAATTCGAGCTATACATAATATAATTGTATCACTACTAGCTTGACTAACATACTAGGTGTGTCTTGGAACATTTGTTCGCATAAGGCAGATAGGAAGCACCCGTAGCTACAACATAGTACGACAGCCAAGTAGTATAACAAGTTTCTCCACCGCAGGATGGGTGGTGTTCTGGTTATGCATATAACAACTGTATTACTATTAGCTTGACTAACATACTAGGCGTGTCTTGGATCATTTGTCTACACAGAGCACATAGCAAGCACCCGTAGCTGCAACACAGTACGACAGCCTAGTAGTATGACAAGTTTCTCCATCACAGGATGGGTAGTGTTCTGGTTCCACGATTCCATATGCATCTGACCCGAGCGCAGTAATTGAAACTATGTGCATAGAGCGTTTATCGCTATCTTTACAATACACCGCACTGGACCATAGGCAATAGGTCGAACACCGGTGAACCTACGCTTGCGCTGGTAGTAGGTATAGTGAACAAACGTATGCCGTACTACTACCAGGTCCAGCCATGTGGACAAAGGGGTCCGCTTGCGTTTGGCAATTGTACCTATACTAACCAACATGAACAAGGATGGGCTGTTTCGATGTGCGCGTATAGCTATACTTGGCAATTCAGACAAAAGGGAGTCCGTTTTTTGAATATAGTCTCACTGTGGAAGATGGTGGGCCTTGTTCGACCAGAAAATATAGCGAAGGTGGAATAAGGAAACCCACCTGAAGTAGCCGTAGGCGATGCCAATGTAAATGCACACGCTTATACACACGCTTATACACATACTTACACACACATACACACGAACACACACACACACACACACACACACGCACGCACGCACACACACGAACGCACACACACACAGATATATATATACCACACACCCACACCCACCCACACCCACACCCACCCACACACACACACACACACACGTATATCTATATACACTTTCTCTCACGTATACACAACACACCCACCTGAAGTAGCGGTACGTGATGGACAGAATGGGGGCGACTACACAGAGAGAGGCCACCTGTTGGATGATGGTGTTCTCATTCACCAGATACACACTACGCAGTGCAACTACATACAGAGCCCACTCCCACCCCCCTAGAGCCATGTAGTTGGAGATGATGATGCCTTGGTCTTTGAGATCCTCGGCACGCTGGAGAGGGAAACGGTGTGATATTAATAGAACGAATGGCATTGGTGGGTATTTATAGATGCTTGGGGGGATTGGACGGCTTGGCGGTAGCTGCAGATGTCACTATAAGACTGTACCTTGATGGGTCAGTTCATAGTACAACGCCTTGCCATAGCCCCACACCCGTGCGAGTGGACACGACCTGAGTCTATGAGTATGGAATCCACCAAGGGCTATTCTATAAATAGACCAGATGAAGATAGAGTAGTTAAGTATTTCTAGTAGATGTCGGTATTGCGCTGTGTTTTGTAGTTCTATTTATAGATAGACCGATCACGCTCTGTTTTTTTACTTGCTCGCCCCAGTACGGAACAATCCATGCCAATAAACAATTGCAGCGTACTGTTGAGAGGGTTGGTTGCTATGCGTACCATATTAGGAGAAATCATGACTACAATACAAACCAACTCTATCTTCCCTACGCCCCTCAGATTCGCAGTAGCCCAGTACTAGATCTACATCCATTCAAATGGTATCGTGTAATTCAGATTTACATAGATCGGGTGATAAAATCTAGATCAACATTCTTCACCCACCCACTCCAGCTTAGCAGGCACATAACTTGCAACACATATGACCCACACACTCGCCCGTACAGCCCAATGGCTATATATCGCACTTGAACGCATACTTGCGGCTCTTGACAATAAATACACACCTTTGCTTTCTTCCTTCTCTTTACAATTGCGCCTAAACCAGCTTTCCCCATTTGTGCATGGTCTGTCTCAACGTCACCACCCAACGCCATTCCACCAAAGTTCTCGACCGGCATGACCTGCACAGGAGAAGCGGACAGCCATAGAGGAGGCGTATGCATCATTTGGTCATTTGGTGAATGAAGAGTACGATAACGACATGTAGAAATAAGTATTAT